CATAGAACCCACCAAAATTGAATCAGGAAGAAACAGATAATTTGAAAAACCAATCACTAGAGGTGAAATACAGTCTGTAATTTAAAAAACTCCCTGCAAACAAAAGTCCAGGACCAGATGGCTTCACAGGTGAATTCTACCAAACAAAAAGAAGAACTTATGGGCTTCCCTGGTGGCACAGTGGTTGAGAGTCCACCTGCCGATGCAGGGGACACGGGTTTGTGCCCCGGTCCGGGAAGATCCCACATGCCGCAGAGCAGCTGGGCCCGTGAGCCATGGATGCTGAGCCTGCACGTCCGGAGCCTGTGCTCCGCCACGCGAGAGGCCACAACAGTGAGAGGCCCACGCACTGCAAAAAAAAAAAAAAGAACTTATACCGATCCTTCTCAAACTCCTCCAAAAAACTGAAGAGTGGTGAACACTCTCAAAGACATTCTATGAAGCTGCCATCATCCTGACACCAAAACTGGACAAAGACACCACCAAAAAAGAAAATTTCAGGCCAATATCTTTGATGAATACAGAGGCAGAAATTCTCAACAAAGTGTTAGCAAACTGAATCCAGCAACACATAAAAAAGATCATACACCACGACCAAGTGAGATTCATCCCAAGTTCCCATGGATGGTTCAACGTACACAAGTCAATCAGTGTGATACACCACATCAACAAAAGGCAAGACAAAAACCACATGACCATCTCAATAGATGCAGAAAAGCATTTGACAAAATTCAACATCCATTTATGTTAAAACCCCTTTCCAAAGTGGGTATAAAGGGAACATATCTCAACATAATAAAGCTATTTATAACAAACCCACAAGCAATATAATACTCAATGGTGAAAAGCTGAAAGCCTTCCTGCTAAAATCTGGAACTAGACAAGGATGCCCACTCACACCACTTCTATTCACCGTAGTATTGAAAGGCCTAACCACAGCAATCAGACAAAAAGAAATAAAAGGTATCCAAATTGGAAGGGAAGAGGTAAAATTGTCATTATATGCAGATAACATGATCCTATACATAGAAAACCCTAAATACACCCCACAAAAACTACTAGAACTGATAAACAAATTCAGCAAGGTAGCAGGATACAAGATTAACATACAGAAATCAGCTACATTTCTTTACACTAACAATGAAATATCAGAAAGGGAATGTAAAAAAACAATACCTTTCAAAATCACAGCCCCCCAAATAAAATACTTCAGAATAAACCTGACCAAGGAGGTGAAAGACTTATATGCTAAAAACTATAAAACATTAAGAAAGATAACTGAAGATGACTCAGAGGTATGGAAAGAAATCCTATGCTCTTGGATTCAAAGAATTAATATCGTTAAAATGGCCATACTACTGAAAGCAATCTACAGATTTAATGCAATCCCTATCAAATGACCCATGACATCTTTCACAGAATTAGAACAAATAATTGTAAAATTTATATGGAACCACAAAAGACCCAGAATTGCCAAAGCAATCCTGAGGAAAAAGAACAAAGCAGGAGGCATAACCTTCCCAGACTTCAGACATACTGCAGAGCTAAAGAAATCAAACCAGCACGGTACTGGCACAAAAACAGACAAATGGATCAATGGAACAGAATAGATAGCCCAGAAATAAATACACACAACTACTGTCAATTAACCGTCAATAAAAAAGTCAAAAACATATAATGTGAAAAAGACAGTCTCTTTAGCAAGTGCTGTTGGAAAAGTTGGACAGCCACATGTAAACTGATGAAGTTGAAGCACACCCTACACAAAATAACCTCAAAATTGTTTAAAGACTTAAACATAAGACATGACATAATAAAACTCCTAGAATAGATTACAGACAAAACATTCTCTGACATAAATCATACCAATGTTTTTTCTTAGGTCAGTCTTCCAAGGCAACGGAAATAAAAACAAAAATAAACAAATGGGACCTTGTCAAACTTACAAGCTTTTGCACAGCAAAGGAAACCATAAACAAAACGAAAAAACAACCTATGGAATGGCAGAAAATCTTTGCAAATGATGTGACGGACAAGGGCTTAATTTCCAAAACATACAAACAGCTCATATAACTCAGCAACAAAAAAACAAACAACCCAATCAAAAGATGGGCAGAAAACATAAATAGACATTTCTCTGAAGAATACATAACGGATGGCCAAGAGGCACATGGAAAGATGCTCAACAGCGCCAATTATTAGAGAAACGCAAATCAAAACTACAGTGAGGTACCACCTCACACAGGTCAGAATGGCAATCATCAAAACTCTATAAAATAACAAATGTTGGAGAGGATGTGGAGGAAAGGGAACCCTCCTACACCACTGGTGGGAATGTAAGTTGGTGCGGCTGCTATGGAAAGCAGTATGGAGGTTCCTCAGAAAACTAAAACTAGAATTACCATATGAGCCAGCAATCCCGCTCCTGGGCATATATCCAGACAAAACTGTAATCCAAAAAGATACCTGTACCCCTATGTTCATAGCAGCACTATTCACAATAGCCAGGACATGGAAACAGTCTTAATGTCCATCAACTGATGAATGGATAAAGAAGATGTGGTACATATATACAATGGAATGCTACTCAGCCATATAAAAGAACAATGGTATTTGCAGCAACAAGAGATTATCATACTAAGTGAAAAAAGAAAGAGAAAGAGAAATACCACATGATGTCACTTTATATGTGGAGTCTAAAATATGACATAAATGAACCTATGTACAACATAGAAACAGACTCACACTCAGAGAACAGACTTGTTTCCAAGGGGGAAGAGGGTGGGGGAGGGATGGAGTGGGAGGTTGGGGTGAGCAGATGTAAGCTATTATATATGGAATGGATAAACAAGGTCCTACTGCATAGCACAGAGAAGTATATATTCAGTATATCCTATGATAAACCATAATGGAAAATAATATATAAAAACGAATGTATATATATGTACAGCCGAATCCTTCAACTAAAAGAAAAAACGTCAATACAATTCACCCTATCACTGGTCTAAAAACAAAACAGAAAACATTTTACTTTAAGAGGCAATCAGCAAACTTCAATACCCGTTCATGATAAAAACTCTCAGAACCAGAAATAAAAGGGAATTTCCTCAACACAAGTGGGCTAGGATTGGCAATTTTTTTCTGTAAAAGGCTAGAGAGTTAATATTTTAGGCTTTCTGGGAGGGACTTTCATCCAGACTGTCTCTGTCACAACTCTTCCACTCTGTGGTTTTAAGTGCAAAAGCAGCCACAGACAATGGGTAAACAAATGGTGGGGCTACGTTCCAATAAAACTTTATTTACAAAACAGGTGGCCAACGAAATCTGGCCCACGGGCTATAGTTTGCCAACTCCAACAACATCCCTCCCAGTTTCTCACACCTATTAAACTCCCAAAAAAGCTAGCAAACATCACACTTAGGGTGAAAGAAAGACTGAACTTCTCCAGCTAATATCACTCACTGTAGACAAGGCCAAGAGTTAAAAACTCGACAGGGGTCCATACTTACGGAGATTCCTACACTTTTGTGAGTTTTTACCTCGAGGAGCCCTACCAGAACTTCTCACGGTGTCTACGTACTTCTAGCAGGGGGAAGGGAAAAGCAGACATTTGAAAATACTGATCTTCTTAACAAGACCTGCACGCAAATGATTTTGGCAGAGCCTAATCAAAGTGGGTTTTACCAGGGCCTAACCAATGTGGAGGCAGGGAAATACCCAACTCCAGCCCCCCTAACCTTCCTGTCCTACCTAAGGAGTGAAAAAAAACTGAGAAGCACTGGTGAAGTTCACAGATGAGGTACATGCTCACTTAAAGACTGCCAGCTAATCACAGGACTACAGAACACTTCTCCTACCCAACCCCCAGCCTCATCACCATATCATTAAAGACCTATTTATCAGATTTGCTTTTACCCAGTATATCACACACATTAGGCTTTTGACAGAAAATTACGAGGCATACAAAAGGGATTAAAACACAGTTTGAAGAGTCAAAGCAAGCATCAGAACAGGACTCTGATAACGGCAGGGATGTTGAGATTGTGAGGCGGGGAACTTAAGATCAGTACAATAAATATGATAACACCTCTAATGGAAAAAACAATGTGCAAGAACAGATGGGTCATGTAAGCAGAGAGTTGGAAATTCTAAGAAGGAGTCAAAAAGAAATGTTAGAAATCAAAAGCAGGCATCTTATCCATTTAATTAACCATCTTAGGTGGGATTATATCTTCATGTTTTCAGCTCAATCACCCAACATATTTTCTTTCCAGGATCTAATGATATCACATTTTAGTTACATTGTTTCACTCACTCTTATTCCATGAAAGACAGTGAAGTATTTTAAAAGCACAATTTTGTTATGCAGATGTGCCCACTAGTGACAACTGTAACAAACACTTTCTCATCAAAGGCCAAAACCCCAGAGGCAGGAATCCCTGGTATTAATTGTGTACCTGTGTCCTGTTAAGTCTGTGACAACGCATAGGCTTTATTATTTTCATAATAAATCCTAGAATTCTATCAAAAGCTGGTGTAGGTACTTACCGTTATAATCTGGTGGGAAATTGGAACCCATCAAGCTGCCCGAGGTAAAAGAGACATTTCCAACAGAAAGAATGGGAGTGAAAGCCCAAAAAGTGTGTAACGCTCCATCCCTTTGGTTGAGAACGGTCTTTTCTCATTGTTTCTACTTTGGCAAGTTAATATAAAAGGTGTAACTCCCTTCAGATTTAATTTATACTTTCTACCAAGGTCAAGCCACTAGTGCATATTATAATAGTGTTCTTTGGTATTCTACCTCACAGCAAGTGTAATTACTTAGAGATATACTGAATTTAGATTACCAAGTCAAGCCTGCAAGATGGGAGACCCTCAGGGGAAATACTATCTCTGGATTTCCTAAATACCCACAGTTCCTTTAATTTTCATGGTCACTACAGTACGACTGGGAAGCCCTTGCTTGTTGATTGGGGGTGGATGGGAGGCACTGAGTTTACCTGGGCGTACTGTTCCAAAACTGTGGCTGCGTCGCCGTGCTTCCTCTGCTCAGCTAGCTTTCCTGCAAAGACAATAAGCATCTGAGCACAGTCGTCTTACTGAGAACGGTGTTCCCCAAACTCAAGGTGAAACGGTTTTAGGTGGTACTATTTAAATCAAAATCGTCTCCTACAAATTGGAGATTGAGCTCTACAGAGTACACATTCAAAGTGAACTGCTTTAAAACAGCATTTTCAAAAGTGTTCCCCAAGACTGTTCAAAGGATCATAAAGGGCAGGACCAAGAAACCATTCTCAGGTCAAGTACGTTTGTGAAGCACTGGGTAAAATAGAGTTAAGCGTTCTTTTGCTGAAATGCTTCATTAATAAGTCTTTATTGTGTATCAAACTACATACTTTGTGAATTTCTATGAGAGAGACAGGAAGGAATACCATGGGGTCCTATCTTAAATGGCAGTTACAATCAAAATTTAGCATGGGATGTGAAAATCACATATAGTCAAAATCAGTCATGAAAAATGCTTACAAAGGCACACATATGGGAAACTGACCTAGCATCTCGCACTAATCCATTTTTTCCTCTAATAGGAAGAGGCTGCTGTTTCTTCGTTTGAGCACTAGATGGGGGTAGTTGGCTTATGTCAGGGGTCTTGCAGTATCATCAGATCTGAGACTCATTCTCAGCCCAGTTGAGATAATTACACTATGAGAGGCACACAGAACCCAGAGTTAACTAAGGGGCTGGCAGAGTCACATCTCCCATTTCATGCTAACTCCAGGGCATATTATCACTGACAAAACCAGGAAGAGTCATCTCCACTGTTTCAATAGCTATCTTTTCTTCCTTTTGGTGACTTGTGTAAACTAAGTGAAATGCACACATGAAGTGACTCCACCCTGTAACATTTCTCAAAAATCTTTGGAGCACTGTCTTCACCTTTTTCTACTAAGCATCTGGGAGAACTAGGTGCACTCCATTATAAGGCATGACACACAGCAAGCTAAGAGTTGAAAAGGATGTAAGAGAAGATAACAGACACCAAGAACAGAACTAGGAAATTTAAACTACAAATAACAAGTTTCTAGAGCAGAAGTATCAACGGAGCCAGAATGAAGAGTTAATAAGACTCAAATAAGGACTTCTTGGTACTTGTAGAAAAGAGTTCAGCTTGGAAATTGAAAGGGCTTATAGAAGAGTCCACAGATCTAATAACCAGAAAATGCCAGAGACAGAAAAGTGATAATCTCACACATTTTTAAAATCCCAAAGGAAAAAAAACTATGAAATTACTAAAGAGAATATGTATGTACATTTAACAGGATATAGTTTGGATTTTTTTTCAGGACTGCTTTTTATGGGGAGATCATAACAATATTTACAAGACTCTTGAAAAGGTGGGGGGAAAATATACCAGCCACTCACTTCACGCACGGCTGAGAGGGCCAGAGCCCCACCCGTCACTTCTCCCAGGCACTCTGGGAATGTCACTCCACTCTAAGAAATCAGACTGTGGAATAACCTCACCTCCGGTTCAGGCAATCCCTAGATCCTGATACAGCTAAACTGCCTTTGCTTTCACACTGCTTATACATTTGGCTTCATTTCTCAAGATTGCTATTATGGTTTCCAATGATCTATTGTCTATATTTGAACAGTCCCACCTGGAAATTCATCTTTACATTCTCGCAGGGCACACTGCTACCGAGCTACACTGTACCAGGTGTACCTGTAAAATGTGAGTTTGGTGAATGAGGTAGAAAAAAGTGTTAGCTAGATCATTTCCAACTTTGAGTGTTCTCTCACAATTCCAGCTTTTCCCCTTCCCGAGGACTGGAATACAGATGTGGAGAAAATCCACCTTCAACTCTCTGCCTAAGAGATGGCAGATCCACACCATGGGAGGACTTGTCAGTGCCATGAGAGAGACAAGTAAACTGCTTTATTGTGCCATTGTATTTGGGGAACTCTCGTAGCACTTCAACTTTTACTCTACCTAATAAGCCACTCCAAATTAACCTTTACCCATGCACATGACAGTGCACCAAGGTGTGCTCCCACCTGACACACGTCTGCAAAACTGCCAAACAAAACCACAGAGACACAAAGCCATTAGAGAAGTTATCTGGGAGAACCTAATGGCGTGTTTACCTGCCAGAGTTCTGCCCAGGCCAGCCAGCTGGTCTTTGGTCAAGTGAAGCTGGGCTGCCACACAGAGAGCTTGCTGCCAACTGCCACAAGCCAGAAAGGCACTGAGAGCTTTCTCGTGGGCACCAGCGCGGGCAAACACGAGCCCTGCTGGCTCACAGAGGTGCTCCTGCAGCAGGTGTTCCCCGTAAGCAATGCTGATGTCCTGGGACAGGAAGAGACAAAGGGTTGGTAAGGAGAGGTGATAACTGTTTTTTTAAATCTTCAAGGTAGGCTGCCTCGGTCATTATACTTGAAAGTCCCTGGAATGACTTAGAAAAACCCTGTGGATGACCAGTGAATTCAATCTTTCTTCCATTCAATACCTTACTGAGGATGTGCCATGTATTCATCCAACAAATAATTACTGAGTACTATTCAGGGCAGTGGGAGTAACACAGCAAAGCAAAACATAAAGCTAAACAGAGCAAAAACAAACAAACAGAAAAAATAAACAGTAACAAGAACCACTCCCAACTTCCTGCTCTTGTGGTGAAAGGGTACGGACTTATAAACACACTATGGTCGACAGCATAATGGCAGGTAGTGGTAAAGGGCCAGAGCGATGGGAGTGCTATTTCAGAGGGCTGTGAGAAGAAGCCATGTGAAGAGTTATGGGACAGTACTCCACGCCAAGAGCACAGAAAGCACCATGGCCATAGGGCAGGAATGGGTATGGAACGCACGGGAAAGAATAACAAAAAGGCTGGTATGACTGAAGCACAGAGAGCACAGCAGACGAACAGATAAGGCAAATGAGAGCAAAGAAGCAGGCTTTGGCCAAATTCTCTATTCCCTAGGCTCAGTATGAGACAGGGAAACAGAGGGACGTAACACGGGGTCCCTGCCCTTAAGGAAACCCACAGCCTGGTGGGACAACAAATCAGTAAATAACAGATTGATAAATGCCATCCCCAAGGTTAGAACAAGGTGCTCTGGGAGCTCAGTGTTTGGCACCTCAGCCAGGAACGGCTTTCTGGCAGAGGAGACCCGAGAGTTTAGAAGGACAGGGGGGCTAAAGGAAGTGGAGGTAGAGGGCTGGCAGAGGCAGCTGATGCTAAAGCAGCAGGCATGGGCCAGATCACAGAAAGACGTGCGCAATTTGTGGACAAACTGAAAATGGTGGTGATGATGGCACGGGCTCCATATCCCAGGTCGGCCACCTCACATCCCAGGTCCTGAGGCAAGGTGGTTCCTCATTTGCAAATTGTGCACACCACCTAGCAGGTTGTTGTAAGAATTATAATACATGTAGCTGATAAGCAAAGTACTGCATATGAGAAAAGCCAAACAGATGTTTGTTCAAACAAGCGAACCAAACTTTATGCAGAAATATATGGGAGAGATCAGCACTATTCAGGATGATGCTGAGTTAGGGCTGGAGGAGGGGCAGGATGGAAACTGCCATGGTATTCCCGAGGAGGATCCAGAGACAACGCCTAGGTTTCTTGCCTGGGCAAGTTCTTCAGAAGAGGAACAGGTCAGGGCCTTTCTCCCAGATAAGAAGTTCAAGATGAGGCTAATTAGTTTGAAGATAAACCTTGAAACCAAGGACAGTGTCAGGGACTCAGGAGCCTCATCCTTTCCCAACCACAGCACAAAGCAAAATCAGGAGAGCCTCATTTCACATGCTACACACCTTGTACTGCTGCGAGTTTGGTGGATATAACTTCAGAGCTTCGTTATACAAGTTTTTATCTTTTATTAAGATTAAGCATTCTGGGAAGTACTCCGGTCCTACAGGAATAAGATTCATACACACACAAGCTTGAGACTTGGGAAGCATAATGGATTTCATTTCTACCAATGGTCCCCACATAAAATCAACAAGGGACCTTTTTAAGACCTGCATAATTAGAGTATCTGGAGAACGGGAATGCAGGAGTGTGAGCTTTAATGAGAACCACTGCAGATTCTGAGGTATGAGAAGCACCAGTTGGAATCAGAGTTCTGCTTAAAAGGATTTTACACTACCCCTGATGAATGACCATCCAGCCCAGTGTTTGCTCAGCCTCCTTAGTAAGAATCACCTGGGGAGCTTATTAACCATACACACAACTGAGTTCCATCCCAGCCCAGATGAACCAGATCCTCCAAGGAAGCCAGAAGCTGAATGCTTAACAAGCACCCCAGGTGACTCTTCCTTGTCCCCGTCTCAGCCCTTAGGAAAGAGTCATAACTGCTGAAGCCTGAGGCTCCAGTACTGGTCAGGGATGGGGTGAAGCACAACACCCGGCATCCTGCTGCTTCGACTCCATCTCACTGCCAATCAAAACTGTGTCAGGGCACTGCCAGTAGGCATGACCCTTCAGACAAGCTGGGTTTCCTTCAGGTGTCTGCAGACACCACGAGAAGAGTGAATTATCAACCAATTTTGATTTTAAGACACTGAAGTGAATTTCGAGGATGATCACTCTTGACTCAAAAGCATCTGCTCTATCTTCTTAGCTATGGAGCTCCTCCCGTTCATTCAAAGACATTTGCTTTACCCTCAGCTTTTCAAAACATATGATAAAAATAAGGTGCGCGTACGTAACTGTTAACATTTTCAGGTGTGGAAATTGAAATCAGTCTGTCTAAACTAACATTTGATTGCAATTTATACCCTCCCTAGTTCCAAAGAATATTTGAAGCAGAAATAAACATAGTAATCCTCACACTTACCACATTTGCTGAGGTGGCCAATGGCTTTTTCATACCGTTTCAAATATTTGTCTATAGTGAACCGCTGATAATTCGTTTCCATTTTCTTAAGTGTATTTAGAAATGGAAGGTATTCTTTGGGATCCTAAGAATTAAAAAAAAAATCTTTTTTAAAGGCCAATTTTATTGCTTGTGATTACTTATAAAAATAAACATATAATAATTATAGCAATGAAACGAAAGCTACATCATTTTAAAAATATGTAGTGTATTAATATATTAATTATATATAAAACCAAACTACATAAAACCACTTTTGGTAAAAATGCCTTAACATATGGGCATATTCTCCAGGTTCCCAATTTGCACTGGAAAAAGAAGCTACATGATAGAACTGGACTGGAATATGAATCATTTGTTATATTTCCTTTATAAGAGCAGAATTTGTTCACACTTATGCCTGTAAGCTTAAAAATAACTCAGTAATTTTATTTCCATTGCTCAACGTAGCAATCAAAACACTTTGGTAAGCCCAGAACAGCGACAGAGAATGAGCTTGGAATTATGGGCCCTGGAGACTCACAGTTCTGCCTCAAGGCCTGTCCTCACAGCCTTAACATCAGACCAAACACTGCAGTGTCAGGAGCACTGTTTCATACTACCATGTTCGCATTAACAAAAATGAGAAGTATGTCTAAGTAGTAATTCCACATACCTTCTGTGACTTCTCAGCTACCATGAGGACCAAATCAAAGTTATAGGTCCCAAGAGAATGATCATATAATTCATTAACATCTACAAGCAGCAGCAAATACTTCAGGGCCTCTTCAGCACTCACAGCATCAGGAACAGGTGCAGCACTTCCTGTCAGTGTGTAAGAAAACAAAACAGAACAAAACAATTTGGGGAAAAACCCCACACACCTAGCAACATAACCAAAAAGACAAAGTAATACGTTTTCCTGGCAGAACTGGACACCAGATGAATATATTCTTTTGACTCTTTTGTACAAGCTTTATAGGGCAGCATTCAAAGAAATGGACCCAGGTCTTAAAATGGAGACCAAAAAGCCACACGCTAAATCAGTGACATGACCCTGGTCCTGGTCAGTGTGATCTCCAGAAGACCGAAGACCCGATGTCAGTCGAGGCCCCGATACACACACTCTGTCAACATGTCTCTACCTTGAAGCTCGTGTACCTTCTGCAGCACAATTTCCAGTTCTGGGGTTGTTTTTTTCACGTGAGAGGTGAGTATTGATAGGCAGTACCTGAAGTAATAAGTGAAGTACACCAGAGTAAGAAAACTGAGCGAGCTGAAGAAAAACAACTACACACTTCTGCTACTCAAAAGATGCCAACTAACGACAGCACACGTACTTGTGAGGATTGATGTTCTCCATGGCTGCTCTCATAGCATCGCAGATAAGGTCTACTTTTTTCCCATCAGGATCGCTGGACAGCTGGACAGTGCTGGTAACTGGTGGAGGGTACATGGTTTTTGTAACATCTTCTTCCCTGAGAACAAGTGTGTACTACAAGGTCACTAACTGAACATATGTCCCAGCTATCTATCAAACTACTAACATATGTGTTGGAGTGCCGATAATAAATAAAAAATGGCTTTTGGAAGACAGTTTAATTCTAAAAATATTCACATATGGTGAAAAATGGAAAAACTTGCTGAGAAATGGAAACATGTACACAGAAGACTTGTATGTTAATGTTTACAGATGTTACATTCATATAGCCCCAAACTGGGTACAGTCCACGTGTCTACCCACAGGAGAATGAAGAAATAAACTGCAGTATGTTTACACTATGGCATACTATTCAGCAATAAAAAAGAATAAACTAGTGATACATGCAAAAACATGGATGAATCTCAAGATAGTATACTATATGATTCATTTATATAAAGTTCTTGAACAGGCAAAACTGAGCTACAGTGAAAAACTCAAAAAAGCAGTTGCCAAGAGGGTGTGGACAAAGAATAAATGAGAAGGGATTTGGGCGAACTTTCTGAGATGAAGGAAATGTTCTCTATCTTGATAGGGGTCAAGATTACATGGAAGTATACATTTGTCAAAACTCAGTGAATGGTACACTTGTAATCTGTGCATTTCATTATATATAAATTTGACATGCAGGGGGACCCCGTACACAAAGAATATGCTCTAGTTAACGTTATGCAAGGTGAAGTACTGACAGGTAAAGTGGACTGATGCCTATAATTACCTCGAAATTTGTCTAAAGTAAAGATGAAGGGTGGGGACTTCCCTGGTGGCACAGTGGTTACGAGTCTGCCTGCTAATGCAGGGGACACAGGTTCGAGCCCTGGTCTGGGAAGATCCCACATGCCACGGAGCAACTAAACCCGTGTGCCACAACTACTGAGCCTGCGCTCTCTAGCCCGTGAGCCGCAACTACTGAGCCCACATGCTGCAACTACTGAAGCCTGCGTGCCTAGAGCCTATGCTCTGCAACAAGAGAAGCCACCGCAATGAGAAGCCTGTGCACCACCACAAAGAGTAGCCCCCGCTCACCACAACTAGAGAAAGCCCATACGCAGCAACAAAGACCCAATGCAGCCAAAAGTATGTATTTTTTAAAAGTGCATTAGGAAAAAAAAAAAAGAATGGTGGATGGACAGATGGGAAATAGTGATAAAGCAAATACAGGAAAATATGAACTGTAGAATCTAGGTGCTGGTACAGGACGCTCACTGGACAATTTTCTCAACTTTTCTATATGTTTAAAATTTTTCATTAAAAAGTTAGAAAAAATAAAAATTAATAAAATAGAAAGTTAGAAAAAAGTCACTGCAGAAAAAGACACCATTTATTTCAATTAATAGTTTTTTATGTACACCTAAAATTAAAGTCAAATAATAATTCTAAATGACATCTTTTAAAGTCTTAGTTTTAAAAAGGGAAAAGATTGAAAATCCAGTACATGTGGCATCTAAGAGTTAGAGATTAAAAAATATATATTGAAAAGCAATTTTTCTCCTCTATTTATTTGTCTGATTTCCTTAACCAGAAGAGAGAAAATTATGCATGTGATACTCATGAATTATTCAAAATACTTACTTCAATTCTGTGAAAAACAGATTAATATGATTTACAGAATCTATCTGTCTTATGAAGGTTTCCACATTTTCAAGAAACACCTACCCAAGAAAAGAATAAAAAAAGGATAAAACATTTTAGTTCAGATCATCTTAGTTCAAGCCTAAGGTTAAGCTCTGATAAATATCAGATTTAGAATGTTACCTTAGGATTATGATCATGAATCAGATTGAGATTAATTCTCAGTTTTCTCATGCATTCAAATGCTTCTTTAAACATTAGTCTGTGAAGAGACAGAAAACGAACAGAGAGGGCATTTCACAAAAAGTAAGCCCCCTGGACTCAGCATATTTTCATAATGATATAAATCAGTTAAAATTAAGACTATAGCCCAACTACTACTGGATTTCTACTCTGAAATCATAGAATGAAAAAAATCAGGTACCAGATTCATTTACCTTCCTAAAAGGTGTGATTTAGTCATCATGGCTGGTTGAGGACTATATCCACACACACACACACAAGAAAATCATTATGGAACTTAGAGCTACTTTCTTTTTTAACAAAATGTTAGTAAACATCTTTCCAATATAAAGTTTCCCCCAAATTCAGAGATTCAGACAATAGATCATTTCCTTCACGACAGTGGCTCGGGCATTTTTGGGTCATAGGCCTTTTTATAAGTCTGCTGAAAGCCTTAGGCCTTCTGCCCAGACAAATACACACAGACACAGGATGGTGCAAAAATTCCCTGGGTTCACAGGCCATCTAAAGCCTATATCATTCCCCTTAGGCTAAGGAAGCCCTGTTTCGTACACTGAGCCTCATGATTCCTTCTGCTAGGAATGTTTATTACACCATATGATATAAGAATCAGAGTGTGAAAAAAAGAGAGCCTCTGAGAATCTCATTGAAGATACATGTAATGAAAGATTTGAAGACTTTTAAGTTTTAAAAATCTTAACGGAATACTTGCTGTCTTCACACATAAGTCATAACAATAAGCTAACTAATCATATACATGGTACTTACTTGTCCAACCACTTCCGAATTTGAGCTAAAACCAGGGCTCGATGATGAACAACTTCTAAGTTTCCCCTTGGCATCTTAAAATAAATAAATCAAATCAATAACTTTTTTAACTAAATAGAAAAAAATTAAATACCCAGGATATACAACTTTACCTAACTCTTCTTAGAGAACACAACACTGTAAAATGAGCATAGCTTTGGCAAAATTTAGTTGTGCTCAAAACTCATTTTGACTTTTAAGAGAAGTTTCCCTCTTAGCCTTACTGGGCAGAGCCTGTATTAACACTCCTTTGTATAAAGCTAACAGAGAACTTAGCAAGGAAAGGCTTATAATAAATTAACACAAATGATAAGACAGCTTAAAATATAATCCACAAGAATTCTGTTTGGTACTTACTGTCAAATGACTATCAGAAACATAGCCTGAAAAATCAGCTTACCTGTAATATAAGCTTTGTGTCCTGGGGCACAACAGTGACAATGCGTGAACCCCTCTCCACCTTCCGCAGAGATTCCCCATTAGACACATGGCTGCTGCTCAGACCTGCCTGTAATGCTAAAGACACCATAGGCTAAGCCTTAAGAATCACTGTCAGGACAAGCCACTCTCCACTAACTGCAGCTGAAACTGCATGTTATCCAAAGTAGAAGGAAGCAATTAACAACTAAGCCGCACTGCTCTCTTACTCAGCCTCAAGACCATTAGCCCCTCTGATAAACAATCTTATCCCAGAATTTTGTGCTCTCTCACAGAGCCCTCATGCACATGCCCATACACAACGTCTCAACTGATATGGAAAACACAGGGAGGACTGGGCACCTTCTCTCTGTCTTAGTGTACTGATAAAGCTACGATCGTATCAGTGAAAGATTCCCTGTTTCCAAGTTATCAATAGAAGCAAAGAAAATAAGTGGGCTTTTTTTTCATAAGAAAATTGTGTGCATGCGCACACATACACGCTGGGTGGGGGGACATGGAACACAGAAAAAAATGCAGCCAATTTCCTACGAACCATGAGATGGAGTCCTTCAGATATACAATGGAGGGTTGCCGCAGTGAGAAAAGGAAGATTACAAAGAAGATTGAGCATATTGCCAGTTTGGTGCCTACATGGTAATTCAAAGTAAAATATTAGTTATATTAAAAAATTTCCTGAAAATTGTTTGTTTACCTTAGGATGTGCTGCTTAAGGAAGGACCTCCTTCTCTTTGCTCACTGATGTGGAGTGATTCAACTGAGATATCATGCTGAGATTAGGGGCTAAGTAAATGAACTTGAAAAGTTTTCTACAGTCTAGGACTCCATGATAAAAAGCCAAAGTATGCAACAATCTTAAGTCATCAAGACTTCAAAGGACAAACGATATTAGAACAGGGACTATTTTCTATTTTATACACTGAAAACTTACTTTTCAATGATGCATGTCTCAGGCAAAAACACTGGCAAGTATGGGAATAAGTCGTCAATAATAAAAACTCATCATGTACTGCAAATGATGTGATATTTGAAGCAACCTACAAAAGGTCAGGGAGGCAAAGGGGAGAGTTAGCTATATCACTTGGAGCCAAGACTGAAAAAGATCCAGTGTCAGAACAAGCCTTGATACCTCAGCGTCATTGATGAAAAAGCGACATCTATCAGTCAGACCAAGGACACATTCCTGCAAAGAAATAAAATATGAAATTACAAACAATTCTAACCAAACTAGTTAAACCAAACTTTTCTATTACACGGTTCCATTGCCCTATGATTTCACATCTAGGTCCTTGTAATGGGGACTGAAGATGCCTAAGATGTGGTTGGTCCAGTGCAAAGTGTGCTATGATGCCATCCAGTGCATCAGCAAGCTCTGCCGTTTCTATCTCCTATGCATGTCTCAAACGTATCACCTTTTGGCCCCTCACTGCCTCCACTCACAGCCACTTCCACTCTCCTCCCTTTCAACCTACTCTCTCTACTGGGCAGCCACAATAACCTTCAAACCATGAAGCACATCACACTACTCCCTGATTAAAATCACCAATTCCCAGTCTATGTTAAATGAGCAAAGCCACACTCTTCCCCATGGCCTATCACTAAGGACTAGCCATTGCTTCCATTAGGTTCCTTGAATAAGCTGAGCTCTTCTAAGCTCACAGTATGGATAGTTCCTCCTCCCTGGAACACGCTCCCTTTCTTAGAGATAGAGCTTTCTTTTTCTTCACATCTCAGCACATACACCACCACCTCCTAGAGGCTTTCCCAGACCACCAAAAGTTGGTCTCCCCATCCTCACAGCTACCATCCTCTAACTAGCCTCAAACACTTCTCTATTCTCTACCATTACACCCTGCTCATTTACTTCATTCTCCTATCAGAAGGGACAGCCATATCCGTATTGATAGATTAAAAATTCCAGAAGGGCAGGAACTAGTCAGCTATTTGGTTTTGTAACCACTGTATCCTACCACTGGCCACAATTATAGGCATTCTAATATTTGATGAATGATAACCTACTGAATACTAGTTTCAAGATTACATTTCTGTTGTCCCCAAAAGTTACTTATAAACTAACTTTGAATGTTTTGTACAAATGGGGATAAAAGTCTGCAAATTGCATTTTTCTATTTTGAATTTATACTTCCAAGGAAAGGAATCAACTAACTACTACATGCAATCTCTTAATCCCATTTCAGAGATTTAGAGGCTGAGGCTCAGGAAACTTCTCATTGTTGAGAGTAACTTCTCATTGTTGCCTTGAGATTTAGTGGACACTCAGGTCCACCTCCAAATCA